ATGAGTAGTATTCAGCGTTTATTTCCTTAACAGTTAGACTTTCGTCTTTTGTACATCCCATAGTATCTATAGTTATGAAGTGTATATAATCTGATAGCATGTCTACCAGACTTTTAACGCTATTATTACGGTATGTTTATTCATAAGGTTGTATTTTCCCATTGCCATAAAGTTTTCTGCGAGTTAAACCCGCCACCACCAGGGCTCGACACACGCTACCCCTACATCATATAAGATCGCAGCGGATTGGTTTATTCCTTATCTTAATCCTGCCCTCTGATATGTATACTTTCGATTAACACCGCGTTTTGGCATCGCGTTCCGATTTGCTGGCATTTACTACACTCCATCCCAATCCATTGTACTTTCTTCGTCTATCGTTTTATTCCAGAACTAAATTGTATTGTAAGCCTTTTTCATACCGAACCGCACTCTCAACCAATTTGATTTTCACTGGTGCGCTACTGTTAAGCTGAGCTGTCTGCCGAGTAGACTTTGTTGCAATCATTGCTGTCAGAGGACTGTTATTGCTGCCCTGTAATTTGGTTGCTCACTTGGCTGTAAAAGTTATTATTACTGTGTAATTTTAGAACCACTATTCATACCATTTGTCGATAAACACTGCTACTTTATTGGACCTCGTTCTACCGCCCGTTGCGGTGCTATGCCCGTTACCGTGTGTATAGCTATCGAAACTAAGTTATCGAAAAATTCTAGTCTGCTAAAGTGTGGCAGCACATGTGCAGTCTATTCTACAGTTGCAGTCAAAAGGTACTTTCGTCCAGATTTCCCCTCAAATAGAGGTCACTGTAGGGAGTGATTGGAGAACAGCAAAAAATCTCTCATCACTTCACACTGATGCCTGATGAGTGATTTGAGTTTACCAGTTGGTTACGATTGCCTAACTTAGGGTGTTTCAATGCAGCGATGAACAAGAGATTTGTGAAAGACAATAGTGTATGTGTGTGTGTGTGTGTGTGTGTGTGTGTGTAAATCCCACTTACTGGAATAATTTTCCCATTGAATTGTTTGTGACTTGCTTTCGGATTATCAAATTTAAATTGTTTTGTTTAAGACAATCGGAAAACGAGGAAGAGGGAGCGTTGAGATAGAATCGTTTTGTCCAATGTCAGTATCGTGATGGTGAAGGATACGATCATAATTCGAGTATGATCTGATAAATTGAAATCAATTTCCCTGTGGTTGTATTACATGGTATAGAAGATTCGGCGAGTTATATACAAAAGCTTTCAGTAAAAAAGAGACCACAGTCGCAATACTGGCAAATAAAAAAGAAAAGTTAACTACCAAATGTATTCGGAATCTCAAAATAAAACACTCTTTTTATCTGACAGAATCCGGGTAAGAACGGGTAATCAAGGGTTTCTGTAGACATATGTCCCTGATGGGGTGAGTTTACATTTGGAGAGAATAGAGGGATGGGGTTTGCATGCACACATATCAATGTGTAATAGGATGGGTGCAATCAGGTAGAATATCGTCAGTGTGCCCAATATGGGCATTACACATATTGCCAATCAGAACGGATAATGGAACTTGGGAGACCCGGCTGATCATTGAGCAGCAAAGAGATATAGGGAGAACACATTGTTGAATAAAAGCGTCTATCACCAACAACAGAGACCGAAAGTGGCGCAGTATTCTGATCTGAAACGAGAGAGCTTTCAGCTTGCGAACATCATTTTGGGTATATAAAGATCAGTGAAGGTTACTTTCAAGTGAGACACCTAAGTACTTTGCGAACCTAACCGTTCCCATCGGCGTTCTCTGAATCGGTATATGATTGAATGAAGATTGGGAACAGACTAAAGTAAAACAAAAACTTTCAAGACANGGGGGGGGGGGGGGAGGTTGAGTTTGCGTTATATGCAGCCAGTTTTGGTTGGTTCGATACGGAAACAGAGAGGATGATATCATCACCATACAGCTAACAGCAATGAGCTCACATTTAGTGAAGAGAATACGTGGTCTTTCATTTTCTTTCTCGGTGCTCAGTTCGTTTCGCGGGGGACTACCTTTTTGATGATAAACTTGT